CAGACAAGGCTTTGGATTACAACGAGAAATAATTACGGTTTGGTTTTCATTATCTCACTATATCATCTTTGTCTTTCAGCCTTAATGGCTGCAGAGGCGTAGGTATGTTGATGGAGGTTGTACCCCAAGTGGCTCTATGGAAGTACTGAAGGGGGCGGTAACATTTTTGGTTAATTGGAATTTATTTTTTAATATTTATATATTAACCTATATTTGTTTTTTTGTTTTTTACAGTTGATGAAGGTCTGTCCTAATGGTTTGTGTTCATGAATATGATGCCACTGACAGCCAATGTTGATGAATACCTATAAATTTGTGTATTTGAACAGCTCAGTACTTAAATGCAAAATAACAGGCTACATTTGCATGGCACTAGGACAAGTTAAACTTGAAATGCATTTTTGTACAATTTTAAAGTTATGGATTCTGTACAAATATTTGTACAAATTATTCTCTCCATCAGGTTGTGGGTTCTTGGCCTGAAATCCTTAAACACCACTGACCTAGAGGAGGAAAACTCTGCTAATTTGAATGTCTTCCTGTCGTACCACCCAGGGTTGTGTTCTTGCCAAGGTTTACCTTAAAGGTTTGTAATGTTTTTTTAATTTGTATAATTTAGAAATGTAGTAATACATTTTTTCACAACATGATCTAGCACTAACCATCGTCGTGATATTTTCAGATTTTTTAAATGTTTTTTCAGAAGTTTAAATGTTCACATATTTCAACATAACTATTTTTTTTTTTGAGTACCTGCTAATGACCAGCCTGGCAGCAGCAGTGTTAAAATGGAGAAATCAGACAGCTGTTTATAGACCCTTATATAAGTGGGGCCACATAACACAGCTGTTTATTTCATTAGGTTCTCAGCCTCCAGAGCATTTAGAGTATGTATGTATATATATATATAGGCTCTACAATAAATACTGTATATACTCCTTTAGATAGACACTTTCTAATGGGAACCTGTTTGCAGACAAAACCTAAAATGTTTCAGTTGCATGTCCCAAGTCTTCAAGTAGGGTTTCTATTGCCACTGTGGTATTCATTCAGTTTCTATTCCATTTACATTCTTCTAACATAAAAGTCATTATGGTATATTTTGGTCCTGTTGACTGTAGTATCCTTAATTTCAATCACAATATCATGCAGAGCTTTAGAAAAGCAGAGCGTAGACCGGACTTTAACCAGCAGCACATGTACAAACTACATGTTTTAACGAGTGGTCCGTATATTAGAGCACATGTAACATCAGACAGTACACTGAGAAAACATGCGTAGCCTGTGGCTAACCCAAAGGTATACTTTTCAGTTATAAATGTCCAGATCAGAAATAGTGCCTAGCATGCCATGCAGCTGTTACAAAGCTCTTATTCAGTAGTGATGAATAGAGGTCATGTAACACGTAGTGGAATAGCTGGTCGAGGAATAAATGTTTCAAAAGCCCGTGTTCACCCGTTTTGTACCAAAAATATTCTCAGCACTTTTCCACTGATACAAAGTCTAATTTGAATAAATAATACCTCCCAATAGAGATGGATATATTTAATTACATTTTTCCTCCGCGTTTGTCATCACAATGATTTTGTCCTGGTTACCATAACAATAATGTCTAATGACGGTCAAACGATACGACTTGCAAGTAAGTGTGCACTGACTGGTCACATAAGTCAGACGTGAAGTGTAAAACAACACTGAGGTATATTAAAGTCTGATTAGAGTCTGATGAGGAGAGCAGTTCAAGTTGTGTGTGGATTGTTCTTCTATTGATGTGTATGTGCTGCTGCAGTGGGTGTGCTTTAGTAGCCACACAACAAATGTACCACAGACATTGGCTGCAGTAATATCAGCAGATCCACATTTTTTCTGCTGTAAGTTCTATTTTTCTTTTTATATATCAAAGGAACTTTCCAGTCATTTTCAACTTCATTTCCATATGTCACCATCACTGCATAGACAGGTTATGTTACAGTGCATTTCTCTGGACTGTTGTTGCTGTCAGCTGTTGTTTAGTCCCATTTGCCATTATACTGACATATTCAGACAATACTGGATGGAGAGCTGTTATTTCAAATGGACTTTTTGATTGGGAGGTGCGGTATGGGAGCCTCAGGCAGCTGCTTTTACTGTGAAACAGTGAGCGCAGCTGGAGTGAAGACGGCTGATTGTACAGGATCCATTATCTTCCACTAGGAAGAAAATGGTTCTGTACATTTATAATATTTTGTTTTTTTTAATTTTTTACTAAATTAAATATTTCTGTACCAGTTTAGAGCTTGGACACCGCCTTTGTTGTGATTTCTGATTCTGATCACTCAGTTTCCAGCATCACATGTTACTGCTGTATAGTGTTGGGCACACATTTAAGTTACTGTGACTAGCCTGTAGAGCAACATATGGCATCTGCAACCATCTAGACCTTGAAACATGTTTGTGATTCTTCATAAGTCCAGGGAACACTGTCACTGTTGTTCTAGCGCAGTCCAGCCTGTTCCCATGTGTGATTCTCTGTCGGTGGAACATGTTACAGAATGAACAAGGTCATCTTTTTACTGCATGGACCGCTGCCTGTCTCCTAATGCCCCTATTACTTTAACAATCCTAAAGAGCACTTACGCTGCACTTTCAATGCACATTTTAACCTGACCTTCCGCACTTAGCCTTTATGTAAATGTCTCAAACTGCACCGAAGCTTTGGAGTTTCTGAGTCCAGTAAACTGATAAGATAAAAGGGTACGAATGACCAAAGGCGTATAATCCTACCTGCTATGTGGGATTGTCTAACATAAAATAAGTTAGTTATGGCACACAAGCGCCATCAAACAACTTTTAAGCTCCCATAAAAATCCTCCAGGTTTCTACACACATGTTTGCTAAATACTATTACTTTCCTTTCCTTAAAGAAAGACTGAATACTTGAAGTTTAAATCTGATATTTAAATCTTCGCTCTGAATGTCATTTAGTTCATCTGTAAAAGGTTTAAGTTCTGAAAGACCAGCAATCATTTTATGTTATTTAAGTTTTGTGACCCAGGATACAATTTGGATAAATACCTTTTGGGGGGGGGGGCTGTAACTTGCCAATATCCAGAGTCAAATGTGAACTGATCGTAAAACTTAGTTTGCCTGGTTTTCTACAGCGACCCAGACCTGACCTCTATAAGTCTATACTCAGTATTTGACACAGATTTTTTAAAAGTCTTAAGATAATCTCAAAACACTGACAAAAATAGATTTTTATACATTTTCTCCTTTTACCATGCAGTATCTGTTTCATAGAACACAACTGATACACAGTATTTGTGAAACATGGAGTTTTCTCCCACCTGTCCTATCACAGAAGCAGCTACTTTAATGATTAATCTCGATTTGTGTCTTAATTTATCTCATCAGTTATTAAATATTTTTATTTTTATACATATGTATTATATTTATATATAGAGAGAGATTTTTTAATTATTTAACCAATTTATTTATTTTCTGTAAAATAAATCACACCCTTCCAGTGGACTCACCACCTGCAGGAAGGTTTGGTACGGTGCAATGTGATTTGGGTGGCGACTGCTGCCCCCGCGACTCGGTTACGAATAAGCGGATGAAAATGGATGGATGGATGGAAAATAAATCACAGTTTTGGGTGTAAATGGTGTTCATGTTTTATTTCAGACACTTTCTTCTTTGGAGTATGCTGTGTAAATAAAATAGTACACTGGAATTGGACAGAGCCATCTAAAAAGAAGCTGAACATCCAGAATTAGGACAACTGCAACAACCTCCATCGCACGTCTGATGTTGAAAGCTTCCATCTTGGGTTCCACTGTGCGTCATCCATCAGCTGAGGTAAGTTATTTGTTGTTTGTGGACTGAATAGGAATTGGCAGGGGTGGGGGAGAAACGGTCGTATTTGGATTCCTGAGCAGACAGCTGGGCGAGTGGGAGCAACCTGACAATACTGGTGCAGATGAGATGGATGAGATAGAGGCTGGAGTGAAGTCACAGTTAAAGAGAGAAGGGGAAGAGGGTGGGACCGGGTTTCAGGGTCCTATTGAAAAGCCCCAAGGGCAGTTGCACTGATCTAGAGATGTCTCCTTCAAAGTCCTCATATCTCCTATCTGACTAATATTCACTTTGCCAGATTGATATCTTTCTTCTGATGTTTTTTGGTTCTAGCAAAGTCAAAGTTTGACCCTTATTTCCCACCACTTTTTTATTAAAGGCATGTGTTGCTATATTATCATTATTGGTATCCCTCCCTTGTAGGAAACAATGCAGCTGTTTTGGTTTGGTTTTTGCTGGTGGAAGGCTAACTCAGTTAGCAAAAAGATAGAGGGCTTTGTGCTTTGTTAGCTTCAAAAGAGCTGAACGCTTACCTGTGGTTCTTTGTAGCTTCAACATCTTAGATGACATCAGATACCACTAAAGAGTCACTTGTTACAACGCGATTCCCTGACACCTTATATTGGACAACACACACACATGTGTATATATATATATATATACACATGTATATGTATATATATATATATATATATACATGTATATATGTATATATATATATGTATATATATATATACATGTATATATGTATATATATATATATATATACATATATATATATATATATATATGTGTGTGTGTGTTTAATGTAAATAAACATGTATTTTCTGAAAACATTGCTTGAGGTTATTTCGACACTGGTGTGGTTTTGCACTTATTGCTCCACCAGGGATCTTTGACCAAAGCAGGAAGATGACTGCCTGAGTTGTTTGTTGGATAGACGGATTGTATTACAGGTGAACAAATAGACAGACGGTCCAGATGGTGGACGCTCTGCCATACAGGACACAGGGTCAAACTGCTCTGGCATTTGAAAATATTTTACTTGATAAGGATCAGTGCAATCAGGTGACATAGCTTGATGGACAGACGGTGGAAATTCAGGCTGCAAACCACATATGGCAAATGGACATTAGCATTTAGTTTCAAACAAAGTTTGGTAAATTATGATGAGATTTGTGTATTACCTGTCATCTTTTTGACACTCCTGTTGTAAGTTAACCCTGTTTTTCACTCGTATGCTTTTTTTCCATGCCATGCTGCATTATCTATTTATCTCTGAGTGCATCATAAAGTATGAAATTGACATAGAGTTTTATTTAAGACGACCTTAAAATAGTGATTGAGACCATAAAGTCTGCAGGAAAGCATTTACTGTCATCATAAATCGAGAGGCTGAGACCTGTAATATTGACCTGTATTTACAGAAAATTAGCTGTAAAACTCTTTCCATTTGACCTCCAGAGCTTAACATGTTTAACCAGATGGCAACGTCCATTTCTTATATATGATCTAGGCTCCAGACCTGTTTTGTTCTCCACATGTTCAGTGTGCAGTGTTCTCGTCTGCTGTGTGTACAACTTCCTGCCATGTGTGGTATAGTGAGGTGAGGGACGTTGTTTGACTGCTGTCATAAAATTGAGCATCAAGGGATAGAAGAGGTCATCAGAGGCCGCCATCATTCTCACACTGCATTCATCTAACCACTTTCACCAAAGCCATTTTGCTTATAATAAATAGCTCACTTTGGTGTTTACATATTATATGTGCACAATAATTTGCTGTGCCGTGGTTTGTGCTTCATGACCCACCTCCATAACTGTGATATAGTTGGGTGGTAACTGAAACGCTGTTATAGTGCTTTAAGAGCTGTACCTGATCCAAGCATCATAAATCCTGTTTTGTGTTGCTACATGCAAAGGCCAAGTTTATGTCCAGATGTACCTGCGCTGTTACAAAGTGGGTAACACTGAGTATTTTTTGTAATTAAAATATATACTCTGTTCGCTTTATGTTGGTTGCTTGATTTAAAAAAAAAAAAATTAAAACAATCGTATGTGTTGCAATACAATCTAGGCTGTTTAGTCTTGTTGCACCACTGTGTTGGCTTCCACCTTTGATGTCAAATGTTATCTGAAGGCAACTGTATATTTCTGACCACTGCCATGTCTCCCTCTGTCCAAGAATACAGGCTTTAAGCTCAGTTTTGATCAGATTTCTCCAGTAAAACACTTTTATTTTATTTCAAGCAAATCCTTACTACACATCTAAGCAGGTAACTATTGGATGGAAGCAGTCATTCACTGTGTTCATGCTCTACCATCTGTCAGACTCCAAACTGGACCGGGGTTTATAAATTGATGTCATACTGACTGACTTCAGACTAGTTACTACAACCAGTGTTATTGACCCATTATTGGCCATTCTAATGCAAAACCTTTCCTTGTATACCAAGAGAGCGTAGCGTTTTGTTGAGTGAGTCATTGTGTCTGCCTAATGACGGGGTCACAAGGGTCACTTTCAGTGTTAAAGGAATGTATCATTAGATGCTGTTTGTGGTTAGTAAGGCCAGCTTAGTATCAGTGAATTGGGAAGTTGTTATACACCTACATCATCTTAATGTTGCTGCTCTGGTTTGCCAGTATTTACATTTACTATCCTCTTTTGAAGTTAAACGTTCTTAAAACACAAATGTTGCATACTATACTTGAGTATAAAATGTGGCATCTATGAATGTTCTACAACAAAGGGAATGTCCATTTTATTGATGATGCTTTAAAGTGCTGTAAATTCTCCCCCACAACACATTCACTAAACCCACAATACCTCTCTGGTATGTGGGAAATTCTATGTGGGCAACATGTTCCATGTATATAGGCCCTACTGGCACACCACGATTTCATGGGAATCTTAACAGAGGGATTTTCATGATTTGAGCCACAGCCAAGTTGATACATCGTAAAATGGCAGAGAAGCGTTTTACAACTGGGGTGTATTGGAGTTTTACTTTTGCTTTAAAATGTACTCTTTATATTGAAAAACATTAAAATAATGTCTTATGAGAGAAAAGCTAAAATGATGTCATGTTCTGGTAGTTCTTCAGATTTTCAGCCTGTCAACAAAACAGGCCTATTTGGGCAACATTTTTGTAATAACAATGGCTGACCTTAATAGAAAGCCCCGGTGTGTTTCTTAGTTTTGCAGTTTTCACATTTACTTCAGGGTTCTTTTTCTATCTACGTCAGGGAATAAACAAATCTCATGTGTCCAAAAGTGTAGATAACCTACTGAGAAGTTTGCCTCAAACACTGCCCACTATTGTACGCAGGCTTCAGTAAACCAACATGACACCTGACACTGCTGCACTGTGCTATAGTGTAACCTGCACGGACTGATCTGGCTGTCCTGTGGCGACAGATGCTGTAGATTCTGTAAGAGCAACAATAGAAAACAAGTCAGTGAAATCCTAGCAACAATAGTGCTAAGAATAGATGCCAAGTGGATACAGGAGATGGGGATGAATAATGGTGAAGGAGGGAGAAAACACCCCTTGAAATGGGACAATGGTGTATTTTAAGCCTCGACAAGGCTCTGACATCCTGATTGCTAACCTTTGCTATTCACCTTAATAGCTTTTACAGATTTCTAGCCCCCAGTCATATCTTGATTCTCTGGTGATGTGACTGGATTACAGGCATCTGATGATGGTTTGTCACTCTTTGTTGTTGTTGTGCATCTCCCCCTCAGATTCTGGAGAGAGGGAGGGTACTTAGCTTGACAACTTGCCAGCTGTTGGCACTTGTTTTTAACCCCCTTTGCTTGTTAAGTAACATGGTGACCTCGCGAAGGGTCAAGAACACGAACAACAACTGAGGAGTAAGGCCCCGCCAGCAGACTCGGCTGATTGTAAGGTCAAAAATTCTTCCTGACCCTGGTGGACCCTTAACAAATGACTCCCGAGGCATCAAGGGGCAGCATTCATATCGGATGTGCAGCGCTGTCCATGCAAGACACATGTGCTACAACTTAAGTAAAAGGAATAAATCATCCTGTATGAGGGGAATAAGGAGGATTTCACATTAACCCCTGAATGCCTTGTACTCACATGGGATCTCCCTCTGGCTAAGGGGATAAATAACATCCAGGGAGTCCTATAAACTCTTACACAGTCTAGGATTTATTCTTCTTGAATTCCGCCTGTTGAATGGTAATGAGATCAGCCGTTTTGCAGGGCATGAGGCAGGTATGAATGTCAGGTGACGTCAGTGCAGGAGAACAACAATGAAAAATGCAAAGACCTGTGGTGAAACACCTCCCTATCTGCTACCCCGGCACATCCGTCAAGGCGGGACTCCCTTTTGCACCAAATGGAAATAAATCATTTTTAGGGTGGCAGCTTTGAGCTGTCAGGTATTAGGTTGAGGAAGGAAAAACACAAAAGAAAAAGACAAATGGAGAAGGGGTGGCCGGTTTAAAATTCACTCCAGTACAATGTGGGAAAGCTATGAGATGTGCTCTCCGGGTTGCCCAGGAAGTAGAAAGATATATGTGACCCTCTAACTTTAATACTTTGCCATATATATGCTGCTACTGCAGCACAAAGACTGGGGACATGTGAGGCAGCTCCGAGTGGCTCTGTACAGCTTTACCATCTGCTGCTGAAACTTTAACTGTGTCCCATCAACAAGAGTGCTCAACAGTTGTTCACTGCACACAGCAGCAGTTACAGTTCATCACACTGTGGTAGATACACAGACCCCAGTGTGAAACTGTAGCTCTGATGTCAGTCGCTCAAACAGGTACAAGGATGTGGAGGGGGGGAGAGGTAGAGCAGGAAAGAAGAGCAGATCAAGGGAAATGAGGAAGAAAAGAGGAAATCTAACAGTAATAAAAATAGAGGACTAAAATAGTTTCATGTACAGGGACAGAGAATTAACAAACGTGACGCAACAAATGTGATGACACACAGATATGTAATAATGAAAAACAAATGTGAGAAAAAAGATAAGGAATAAAATAATTGAATGCAGAGAAGAGGAGGAGGAGGAGAGGCCATGAAGATGAACATGAGGGCAAGAAAGATGAGAAGGGAAATGTGGAAAGGGAGATTTAATAAAGGAAAGGAAGCCAGGTGAAAGAGAGATAACTGAGGGAAGATGTGGGGAGGAAAAAGAAGTTATACAAATATTTTTAAAAAAGAAGGAAGGAGAAGATGGGGAGGAGGAGGGGAAGAATAGCTTGGGAAGAGGCAATGAAAAACATTTGTAGAAAGAAGGAGGAAGAAAATAGGGAAACACTTCTCTGAGTTACCAAGAATGGCTCTTTCGTCAAGGTTTGATATGTTTTATCCATTTAATTAGATTTCAGTGAATTAGAAGCCTGCAGATACGTCTGTCTCTTGTCTGACTGCTGATCTGGCTGCAGCTCTTCCTTGTACTGAAGGAGCTTGGCTGGAGCTGAGCTGAGCGAGTGAGCGCTGCTGCTCAGACTAACAGCTTCTGGCATCTCCAGACAGGAATTCATTCCTGCCCCTGTGATCGCAGCAGGCTGGGATTTCCACACAGAGGGAGCTGCATAGAAGCATGTTATTATTATTTTTGTGGATGCAGAGACCTGGGCCTCCTCATCACTCATCGCTCTGTGCAGAAGTTTAAGGTTTTACACACGATATTTAACAAAAAAAAAAAAAAAGAAAATCAACCATATGCCCCTAAGTGTTAAATCATAGAGAGGGTAAAACCCTAGACCATCACTTCATACATACGGATCGGTGTGAGGAGGATCAGCTATCTGAGCTCTTTATCCTTCCCAGGTGGTGCTTTACAGGCCAACATATCTGACCGCTAACACCAGATCCCAGCCGACTGTTCCTGTGCCTCTGACTGTAATCACACAGCTGAGGATGAAACCCTGGGACATAAACATCGAAGCCATGTATGAGGTGTGTGTGGCCTGGCTCACTTTCACCCCTGCCCCCACCCAGCCGTCACTGGCTGCTAAACTGGGAAGGTGACCATGAACTGCTAACAGCATTCACCCTCAAACAAACATACGCGCACACACTCATCCCAGGTGGGTCACAGCTGTTGAAGGAAAAGCTCCACGTTCACTCTAAAAATACCAGCGTTGACACAGGAAGAAAAACAACAGAAAAAAAGCAAATTAATGAAACCTCCTCTGTCTTAGATGAAACCGGTTGAAGGTTTTTCATCCTGTACGAGCTAATTAATTAGATTTTCTGACATTGATTTTACTTTGTATTTACAAACATGTCTCAGGTTCAGGCACTCTTAGTGTGACCAGTTACATGGTGAACTGTGGCATCTCTACCTTAAGATAATACAGCAGCAAAACACAATCCGCGCCATTGGTATTGCCCACTGTCTCGGAGAGTTTTAGCTGCTTTTACTTTTTTGACATCAGGACATTGTGTGAGAAGGAGAAGGGGGAACAGGAATTAATGGTTTTGCAGCCATACCTTGAGAACAGCAGGATTTTCCACTGTGGGAACACATGGTGGGCTTAGTTGTAATACACTGTAATGAGATCTGAGAAGGACCCTTGAGTGTGAAGGGGCTGCTCACACTGCAGGCTTTCTTTATGGGCTGATAGAAAGATGAGATCAGGCTGGTACCGCAGGTCAGAAAGTGAAAGCCTGTGTTTGAGCGTATGTGTGTGTGTGTCGTTCCCCGACAGTGATACTGTGTGGGAGGCCAAGACACCCCTCACTTATGCATAAATTAATTCTCTCCCTTTTGATTTTAGGTGAAGAAAAGTTGCACCCTTTTACCTTCTGCTGTATGTAATAAAAACCAATAAAAACACTCTTTTACCATTATGTTCTGGGAAACACACACACAAAGTGAAAGACAGCGCTATTGTTAGAACTCCTTTTTAATTCTATATTTTTAATGTTTTTTTAGTCTAACCTAGACATTCAAATCCTTTTTATAACCCTTCTCAACTGTACTCTTATTATAGTCCTAAAAGTAGATATTAAAGCACACATTACATGATCCTGGCCTTCCATGTCCTGCAGGAGGAGCTAAAAATGCAGTTTGAACGTATACTGGTCCATTAGTTTGGGGTGCTAGTGTACATTATTTATAAAGTTTTACCCTGCTAAACTAAGCATTTTTGCTTCTTTTTTTTTAAAAAAAAACAACTTTGAACAGTGAAAATGACTTGGTTGCTCTTTTGGTGTAATATGTTCTTTTAGCAACTTACCTCATACTCCACCTTGAGCTAAGCAACATTTTACATTCATAATCTTTAGGATAGTGGTGATAATAAAAAGAAAAGTTTCTGAGAAACCAGGGCTTTCACTGACTTGGATGTTGTTCATTTTATAATCACTGCGGCACACTGCGGGTTGTTCTTATCTACACTTTTTCTGCAGTGTTCCCTTATGTAGATAGGACTGTTGTCTAGCGCCCCCTCAGTCAACAAATCCATGTTTATTGCCTCAAAACTATACTGAATGATTTAAAAGTGAGGTCATTACAAATGCAATTGAAATTATTGTTATTGATCAGTGTAATCGTCCCAGTGTGGAAAAAATGAACATGAAATTCCTTTTGCCTTGTTGCATTAGCACTGTGTGTCCCAAACGCCCTCCCCTCCTCCTCCCTGCCACCCCCTTTTTGGAACTAGGGGAATACACACATTAACAAACAGCCACTCACAAGGAGAAGCGCTTCAGTCATAATGGGAGGCCATTCTGGTGACAGCTGGCACAGGGTGTGCCACAGGGTTGCAGGGGATGCGGGGGTTAGGGGAGGCCTAAATGCAGTCATCACCGTGTGAATGCAGAGAATGTTTAGGAATGAAGGCACTTTGTCTTCAAATGTCGTTTTAAAAACAGGATCCTCGGCGTAATAAGCATGGAATGTTGCCATCGCTCCTGCCACTACACAGCTTTATTTGCTCTCATCAAAGTGAGCGGTGTGGGCCGGGGGGGTAGAAATTCCTTGATGGCTATCTTCTGGTTTGCTATTGCATATTGTCTGGGCGTATTTGAACATGGGAGGCAACGCTTTTCTGGAGTTCACACAGCAGGGTTCACATGTAGAACTCACCTGAGGAGCTAAACATTAACCACATCTGTTCAACAAATATGAGCGACATTGTTTCAGATCATTAGGAGAATGAATATTTCTCTGACTGAACAACAAGACTGTGTCAAAGTCTGTAGAGTGTAAATGCCTGTTTGACAGGTCAGTCATTGGCACAACATTTTATAGACGTTTTCCTGTTGTACATTTTTACAGTTTTTCCACAGAGCGTTCTTTCTTTAGACTTCACGATGAGAAATACGATCAAAGCCTCACAGACCAGGTCAAGATTTGTGATGCATGCTGAGATTCGCAATATATTTGGATACTTCAGATTTAAATGATGGAAATGGAATATCCAGACTAGCGACCATCTGTGTGAACTTGGACTCGTTACTGCGTTACTTGATGAATTCCACATTGTCCCATATAAATAAAATAAAAACTCAGCTATATAAATTGTTTGAAAAAACACTTTAATAAGTGATATTTGCTTACTTAGGGACAATAACGATAAGGAGGGAATGCCATGCCACGATTTTATTGCCTTATAAATGTTAAAGTGCAATGTTGCAAACAAGCAGATGGTCATTTACACCTTACAGTCATTAGCATTTGTTTAGGTTCAGGTCACTTCTGTGGAGCTTTTTACGTTAGAATAAAACTGTTGTTAGGATATTGTTCTCTGTGGTTTCACATCTGTGAGCAGAACCTCCACTGACTGTATATTTTATACCTTAATGCTGTTTTGGTTGCAGAAATTAAAGCCAGTCAAGACGTTACTGAAAGTTTTTTTTTTTTTTTTAAATGGCCATTAGGGGGCACTTGCTGTATTAGTCTGAGAGCAGTTAAGCCACATATCAATTATTGTATTATGTAGTATCATCTGTACCTTCAGCTAAGAACATGCTCTTAATCACATTTAGCTTATTATAATTACATTTGTTTTACTCATATTGTATGCAATTATGGTTCCATAGTGTAGCCGTTAGCATGCCTGCCCTACAAGCGGAGAATCCTTGGTTTGATTCCCAGAGGAGCCACATATCACTAATGAGTGAGTGATTAGTGCCTGTGAGTTGCAACCATATACTTAATGACGCCTCCTGTGGCAGCATGTGTTGTTTGCAAAGAATCACACTGTAAATTTCCCTATTATGGGACGAATAAAGGACTCAATTATAATTATTACAAGATTGTACCTAAAGGTGACGAGTCAAAGATTAGAGGTCTAGGTCTTTTTAGAAAGGCAAAAGCGGTGCGATGTTCTATCCCTGATATTTCCTTCTCCTTTTTTTTTTTTTTGGAATGTTATACAACTGGGACTGGGACCTGGAACTAATATTTCCATATTCCATTGTTAGTGCCACAACCTGAAATCCACGAGAGCATCATTTGGAGAGAAAACACACTAAAATGTCTGACCGTAAACAGCTGAAGACTCTCTGTCTATTTCAGGTATCTGTTTTTTACATGGTCCCACTAAGGCTGCTCTCCTGAGACTTTTTCCCCCTCCATTTGTCTTTTCCTCTTCAGCAGAAAAAGGTATCAGCTAACGCCTGACATGGTGTTTGGGAGCGCGGCAGCGGGAAAGAGGAGAGGTCACGTCTGAATGTGACCCGCAGCAGTGGCTGAGATAGACCAGGTCTGCTGTTGTGTAGTCCAGGAGGGGAGTGGTGACTCTCTTTAAAACCTCTGGTGATTTCTGCATGGAGAGGAGAAGTTTGGAATTTTCAAAGTAGTGATGAAATCCACCTCGTATATCCCTTCAATAATTACGGCCCCTCTGCAGACATTATAAGCTGCCCATCTGGCATCGATTAACCTCCCAAAAAAATCAATCTTACTTCCGCAAAATGACAACTGTAGATGGATTTCTACTGAGAAATAATTCTTTAAAGTATCTAGAAATAATGATGATAAGATCATTTGTTATTCAAAAATATTGTAATTTACAAAAATGATTAAATAATAATAATAATTATTTTTAATAATAACATTAAAACCAGAAGGAGCTGCGTGGGCTGCGGCCTGTGATCAGAGTCAAACAGCTTTCTATCACAGCAGCTTTTCTAGACTGACCTGTGCTGCGTCTTCCTCCAGTCAGAACAGTCCTGGTACATTTGGTCTGAGATGAATCAGACTATTATTAATTATCCTGCTCACAGGCTGTTGGCGCCATAAATAACCATCCACTGACAGACGTTTTAACCGGAAAGAATGCAGAGTTTGGGAATGTAGACTTTTATACAATTCAGGCTGTAAATAAATCAGTAAAGTGAATTGTTTTATCTTTTCTGGGTGTAGTTGGAGTTGAATGTCAGGACATTAACAAAGCCTTCTACTAAATAGTAACTTTTTAGGGGTTGTTTTACATGTGCGGCATTTTTTTTACCTGAATGAAAATGTCAGCAAAAGGGAAACTATATTTACATCAACCTCAACATTTTCCATTACTCATTTCAAATATTTTTCAATCGCACTTTCCACTGATTCAAAAATGTCCATTTAAATTTCAATCTGAAGGGCTGCATTGAAAGAGGGTCATCAAGAGTACACTGGAATACAGCTCTCTGTAAATAGAGTTATAAATATCCAACCACACCATTTACTGGTTATTATACATAAATGAATGCCTCGCTTGTTTAGAGTTTTTCAACACAAATTTGCGGCAGCCGGTGTGATTATGCAGAAACCTGTAATTTTTAAGTTATGCATCAAAATATACCAAATAAACGCACCCGTAAAATTAGAACACCAACAAAGTCTCAGTGATGCCGTTCCAAACCACCCCTGGGCCAACTCTGGTTTTGTTTTTCCCACCCTTCACAGCAAACCTAAGGTGAGTGTGACATCAAAGGGTCACAGTGCCCAAGGGCATCCAGGGGCCCGAGAATCTCTGAGCTCTGGCCTCGTTTCACCGGGACAAATTAGGGCCCGTCTCTTATCTACCTGAGCTTTCTCTAAGCAGACTCCAACAAGGACTTTAGGATCATTATCCCTATGAAGTAGAAGAAGAACACAGTCAAAGTATTTAGGTGCCTGAAAGAAGCACCTTATTTGTTTTTTTTCTACAATGCTGCAGTTTTTGGAGCGCACTTTTTTTTATAGTCTAACTGTAAGAACAGCTTCTATTTAAAAAACTGTGGCTGTGTTTAGAATGTAGCTCTTACAGGGGTGAGTTTAAGGAAAACATGAATATGTGGTCAAACATTTACCTCATTCTTATACTTGTTGTTTGCAAATAGAACCTGTCTGTTACAAAGGCATGTTTGTTCACAGTCTGTATTTTTTGCTAATGTGCAAAATGTGACTTATTACAATTAATATTGAACCCCAATCAAGGTGTGTTTGTTTTACTGCTGCTGCTGCCTGAAGGTCAGTTGGAGAATATGACAAAATAACATATATAAAATGATTGCAGTTTCTTCAGGGGACTTTCTTAATAACTACTGCTGGTTGTTAGGTGGGACAAGAGCAGCAGTGTGAGAGAGCAGCACCATGTTCAACTGTTTCCACAGATCCAGGTTGAAGAAGTTGTTGATTGTTATCAGATTAAGGAAAGCTGGAATCTGGCCTCTTACCGAGTTTCCCCACAGTTATCTCAGCAACCAATCAGGACAGAAGTCCTGCCTTAGTTAAACCAAAGCTTTAAAGATGTTACTTTGATGCAGGTTTAAACAATTTGAATTGTCTGATCAAAGCAGTAACTTACTGTAGTGAAACTATATACAACTCCTCTACTCCTCTCAACAGAAACCAGTTTATGTTGCTTAGGACTTGCAGTGATATTTTGAGCATGTTAGAAAATGTTACAAAAAAAAACTATGCCAGGCAACAAATGTTTTATGTTTTATATAATCCTTGAATTCACCTGTAGTCAAGTGTTTTTTGTATCTTAGTATGTACTGTACTCTCTATATATCTCTATATGCATCACTGTCTGTCTATTGTATCATTTTTATATTACAGTAAGTGTAGATATTTATTGTCAACTGTCTCTCCTAATGCTCTGTAAAGGACCAACAGGACAGTAAAACCTCACTTACAGCCTGAGGTGATGTTCCAACAGGTTTAATCAAGATCAGACTGTTTGCTTCTTTAATTCCCTTCTTTAGGAACAAACAGTGATTAAAAAGATTTACCTAGAGATACAGTAGCATTAAATGGGTCAGATTACATTTGTTTTTCTAGATGGGGGCTCCAGACCTAATCTATATGCCACTACCAAAGAGCACAGACAAACTCTCTGCTCCACATTTCTAATTAAATTAGGGCTCACACTTATGAATTGAAGTGTGGACTCTCTATATCATCCCCTTTCAAACGTGAGAATCAGTTAAAAACTCATATCTCCATTCAACATGAACGCAAGGATATTGAATACGCTTCATGAGAACGGCTCCTTAGAGTGCGCTACACAGCCAGATGCAAACAAACCCAGGTATCCGTTTGTTGACTTAGTTCTGGCCTGCCAATGATCGTCACAAGTCAAATATGAGGTCAGTATATTTTTAATCTTCAACCTCCATTTCAGTAGCCTCTGAGCCGTGACATGAGTTTCCGCTGCACAGTTCAGGCCAGGAATTAAAAAAAACAAATAATTTCAGCCCTATCTGGTTCAGGTTCTCGTTGCTGCACCTTTTTAGTGCCAGATGATTATGGATTTAATATGCAGCAGAGAAGAGAAAGCGGTTGGCCTTGCTGCGTCAAAACATTTATATAACATGCGAAAAGGCCCGTGGTTTTTAGAGGTGGTCAAGGGAGAAAGAGTTGATTTTTATTTCAGGCTGCAGCCACACTGCCTCAGTCCTTCCTCCACTGCAGCACAGTGGTGGTATTTAGTTAAAGAGCTGCATGGCTCAGTCATACTCCTGGTTCTGAGTGTGTGTGGTGAGATGATTCATGGTGCGGAGGAGACATGATGAAACACCTGCAAAATGTTGTAATTGTGCCGTCCTGTCGGCTGATCTTCTATTCACTGTGTGATTCAGTTTTGATGTGGCTGGTTATTCAGAAAAATGACTTAATAAGAAATGAAGGAGATTTTGTTTTGTCATTTCAGTATAGAAGATTGTCAAAGCTTCACATCTCTGTACCTGTTTCAAATGTTAGTCACATCCACACCACTGTGTTTCCGTTTGAATACACACAGATTCTGCTCCACATCCTGTATCCTGTACTTCATGCCAACTCTCTGTGCTTTATGTTGATTATGCCTGGATTTTTCTCTGCAGTTCTGTGCAGTTTTTTGGATTTAAGTGTGAACTCATACATATCTGGTTTGCAGAGACCTACAATGCCCTCACATGGTGTTGGCAACTGAACTGGAAATTATGAGGTTGCTTAGTTTAAAACATAACCTCTAAAATAAACCAAGTTGGGTTTTTCCCCTTCATTTCCATCTTTATCAACTTTATTTTTCTTCCTTAGCTCTGTGCTAACGTATGAATGCAGAAATAGGCCAAGGCTGAAGCGCCCCGAACCACTAATTGGCCGAAATGATGTCCACATTTCTGTGAAGTCACATTGTCTGCATCAAAGTCCTTGACTTCCTGTTTATCTTCACAGTGAAATTAGTTGAAAATGTTTACAACAAAATATCTTGAATGCTTTTTGTTGCAGATCTGATTGGCAGCTGTTTGGGAGTTGCAAACTGTATCTAAATGAGATTATGAAGTTTGTTTCCTAGCTTCTGTGGGTTGGACTGAATGGATTGAACTAAATGGACCAAACTGACATTCTCACCTAAATTAAAGTTGGCAGCCTAATTACATATCCGAGTAAACAAACTTGTTTCACTCATAAAATGGGCTTTAAGTTTAACAACAATCATAATTTATGAGAATCTAATAATATGATCTGTGAAGATTTTTTATTTTTATATTAATTTGACAGCAGCCACAATAGTTTTTGTGTTTTTCTTTGCTCATGGCATCTCTCTGGGTTTCTGTATGTTGTCAATAAAAAAAAGAAAATGAAGTGATTGTGAAAATACAGCATTTTTGTCCTGGTGGCTGTTTTCAGTGGACCCAGACAAAAATGAACAATGAGCAGACATGAACGCAGCTCTGGTGGCCATTAATTTCGGACTACCTCTGACAGGCCGTGTTCAGACACTGAGTGTGTTAGTGATGGAAAGGAAGAGAAAAGAAAACAACCATTGTCTTAAAAATGTTTAGCACATGGACGTAACAAACAAATAGATAACAGGCACAGTCAAATCTTTTCAGAAAGCTATAGGTTGAGGAGGGGGTCACATTAGAAGTGTGTTATCATGTGTGGCTTTAATACAGCCGGCTTTGAATAACTTTAATGTCGTGAGTGGTCGTGACTGGCCTTGGAGAAAAAGACATTGGATTTTTCTTCTGCAGTTAAACAGATTCAAGGAGTTGTTGTTGTCATTTATATCTTTTTTTTACTGGGGAATTCAGTGTTTCGATGACTGTATGTATTCGTAAACATTTTGACAGGAAGTGGATATATTTAAGTTTTGTGAAGGTTTTATGAAGGCTCAGCTATTTTACAGAATCATTTCAAACTGCTGTTCTGGTTCTTACTGTTCATACTTAGCTCTGTACATATTTGTCGACTTTTCTCTTGGAGTAAAAATACCTGGATTAGCATGTCTACTGTCTGGTGGAGAGGACAGCGGGGACATTAATGAGAAAGGAGTCCAGTGGTCTCATTGGTCATGCTGTCTATAGATATTATCATGTAGTAACGGCATTAATGCTGTGATGAAAACAACCTGGAGTGTTTTATTTAGAAACAAAAATGTGAAACACACATTTACAAAGAAAGTTAAATTTACAATAAAATCAAAAATGTATTAAGGGCATCAATAAAATTCAAGCACTTTCAAGGATTTCAAGCACCGGCATGATCCCTGCCATTACAGCCAAACATACCACAAGCAGTTTTCATGATCATGTGCACATCTGTAGACATCTAAATAAGGCACGCAATTTTGGTGAGCTCACACATATGTGTGGTTTGGAAAAATGTATAATGGCAACATATGATCCTGGGGACTGGATTGTGTTATTTGCCATAACTAGAACTTTAACAACTGCGTGTTAACGTCATTAAAGTCTTTGTTACGTGAGAAGCGCGTGAACTCTGACACTGATCTGAAGGAAATGACTGCAAACGCTGAGACTTCTTAAATGTTTAGAAATATTTGGATTCTGGTTCTCTGACACCACGGTGTCACACGCCACTGGTTTTGATCCCTGTCCACGTTGTCGGGGCGTCTGTATATAAATTATTAACAGATGCAGTTTTAAGGCCAAAAAGAAGATGTCAGAGTTGAAAGTGTTTTGTGAACAATCGTCAAAATTCAAGGCCAAAGAAATTCTCCGTGTTGGCCGTGGGCTGGTGGCCATTTTGGGTTCAAACTTTAAATCTGCCAGTCTGTGTAATAATCTTTCAGCCTGACACTTCTGCAATGCTGACAATTTCATATCTGGAAACCTACCAAAGAGAAAACACAGGGATGTTACTGGAGCCGTCTCCTTATTGTCCACAGTGTCTTTAAATGTCTTGCAGCTGTGAGTAGCCACTTCATTCCTGTTTCGCATTGCATTGTGGGATAATTCAATCGACCAGCTCCAGTGGGATAATAAGTTGAGTCAGTGTGACATCTTCCAGGGTACCGGCCCTGTGTGTGTCGTCTTTATTGCGTTTTATTTGTTCCTTCTCTACTTTACCGCACGTTATTGTTTCACTCTGACTTTGCACTTTTGTTTTCTGACTGTATGTGGCCCGTTAGACACAGCTCTGTGGATACCACGGACTGAAAATCCAGATGGGATAGTGTAGGCATGTTCGCAAATATTCCAGCTCTGCATGAGGCAGTGTATTCATTTACCAAGAATATGTGTTACACATTTCGGCGTGCCTCTGTATAAGTCATCTTCAAAGCACACAGTGAAGGAGGCTGGGATGTTGTGCTTTGCTCCACTTTTACAATCAAAGGCTCCGTCGCTGCAGATAATCTGTTTCCTGTAAAGCAGTGAATGCTGAACACTGATGTCTTACTGAGCGCTTACAAACAACTCCTGAATTGGGCCACATAATCCCATGCAGCTCCCTCACTTGGCGTCATTAGGAGCCATTGTGAAGATGCTTCTTAGCACTCAGGCTGTGAACAGCGGGGGACCTCCAGCAACCGCATGGGGCAAGAGACAAGAGGGGCTGCAAATGTAATCTACAGTGGTGGAGAGCCCAGATTTAAACTGAACTGATAAGAGCGCCTTGAGGCTAACGACGGGCCACAGCAGGTACCTGACCCATCCATTTCCCTGCAATAAAGGCCGACTTAGAGCTTGGTCCCCTGAGGGCTTCAAAGAAGAGAATCCTGCTGAGGGTCACAGCCACTGATGGCGAGCAAAATTTGCACACTGTTGAAAGTGTCTGTGTGACTGTGTGTCTATCCTTCTGTTGACCTCTCTGAAAATGACATTAGTAACATTTCCAGTTCTCATAAGTCACGTGACCCTTACGGCCACAGAAAGAGGAGACACAAGGTGCTTTAGGGGTCAAGAAGGGAGTTCAGGAGGCTGTATTGATGTAGCTGCCCCCTGACCTCATGTCTCCGGAGGAGGGCGGGTGCCATTCACCTCCTGGCAGCATGCGTCCATAGTGTGACCTGAAACCAAAATCCGTCAGTGGCCGTAGGTTCTCATTAGTACATTCATTCCTTAGAACAT